GCATGCAAAGTTGAAGGAAGTCTGAAAAGCGAGAACTGGAACCCAGGTTTTAGATTCATATTTTACTATTATTTTCCCATCCATTCCACTTCTGTGGGGACATTTGCTGATGTGCTGAGTTTTCTCTTTCCGAGGACATGTATTTGGAGGAAGAGCCAAGGGCACTACAGATTGATTTTCTGAGTTTCATTCAGACTCCATGATACAAGCGGCAATTCAGTAGGATAAGCTCATTCCTTTTTTCACTTTTTATGGATTTCATTAAGAAGCATGAACAGGCAAAAATCTCTCTAAGCAATCATATTACCAGCCTAATTTGTTAGACTTTCATTAAAGCAATTAAGGGTAGAATGATGCAGTGACCCAGTTCAGGACCCAATTAAGACTGAATCAATAAATCAGTAGGTTTAAATCACCACCATAAGGCCATAGATAATCAAAACAAGTTATGAGACTGATGCTAAACAGAACTACTGTATTAACATCACCACAGGAGAATTCAAAGAATGAAATACTTTCCAGTTGAGGTCCCCAGCTCATCTTATTACAACCAACTTGGTGCTGATGGGCACAGCCTGGTACAGGTCCATCAGCATGCTGGGAAGCATTGCTTGGGTGCACAGCAAAACAGCCCTCCCTACCATGTGGTAGCTGTGTGTAGCCCTGGGCACGGTGACTTCCAGACACCAGTGTCAGGACCCTGCCCATATGTTCAGCTACATCTGGAGCTAAATCATCCCATCGGTCTGTCACCACTTGCTTTGCACAGGTAAGTAAAGCCCCCAGGTGTCCTGCTAACAAATTCTTCTTAACCACAGCTGTTGACTCTTTCTTGGAGGTCTTTGTCTTTCTTCCAGTGGAATTGGACAGTTGGTTCTGTCCGTAGATTTAATGTGGACCATTGGTAAACTCAAGTACATGGCACCAGCTGCATAATGTGACTTTTCTACTCCAAGTGATCCTCTAGCCAGCATCATGGCAAAGTTGTCCTTCAGGAAAGCATTTAGACTACTAAACTTATCAACACATATTTGCACAGATGCTCATCTTCTCTGTGGAAAAAAGAAGTAAAACAGAGGGTGAAGGTTGAAAGCAAAATCTGAATTCCTCTTTTGTTCCTTGGGATCTTTAACTAACTTGTACATTATCTGGACTTGTTAGCAAAGGTTTGGTCAGTGCTGCAGTCTGTTGCCCTGGACTGGTGAAGCCTATGACCAGGGAGGTTGTGGTGTCCCCATCCTTGGAGATATTCAAAAGCTGTCTGGACACGGTTCTGGGAAACCTCTCTAGGCTCTAGGTGACCCTGCTTGTTGATGACCTCCAGGAGGTCCCTACCAACCTCAACCATTCTGTGGTTCTTTCTTGAGATCCCTGCAAAGCACATCAAAAATGAGCATGTAACTACTACAAATACTTGGGGAGGGAAGAGGAGTTGGAAGTCTTCAAGGTGATCATCAGTTGACTCAGGAGTGGACTCTGATGTTGACATGCTTGGTGGCAGTAAAGTTAAACACTGTCTTAAGAACTCAGCCCAAGCCTGATCATAGCTGAAGTCCCTTGCTAGATATTGTGACCAAAAAGTACCTGAAAGCTTGTCCTCTTTCTTCTTTCCACACTTGAAATACATGATAAAATTGTATAATTTGAGTACTGAAAAGGTATAGTAGCCTAGTCCCAAACCTTCTGTTTATGCCATATTATCTCTTTGCTTTGGTCAGACAGAGACATTATAGTAACATAGTATAATATAATAACAAACAAATATACATTATTATTATTATTATTATTATTACTACTACTACTACTACTACTACTACTACTACTACTACTATAATAATGTACTGTGTTACATATATTACAACTCCAGTGTGTGTCTATCACATACTTGTGTTCTATCTGCTGAAAACAGGAGTTTATCCATCAACTCCCACTCAAGGTCAGTATGGGTTCGCTATGATTATAATTTTGGTGGCCCAGATTTTCCCTGTGGTGGATCAGGGATCTGATCCACTTAGGTGCTATGCTGAGCTGTGGTGGATCAGAGGCTGGGAGGGAAATTTACATTTCAAATGCTACTTTGAGTAAATGTAAACTTGAAGTCACTCTGATATAAATGTGACTCTTCAGTATGGAGAGTACCTGCCCAGCTGGCTTCCAACAAAAAGAAGTATTTGTTTGAGATTTTTAAATGCATTTCTGGTCACTGCTAGACTGCAAGCTGAGGCAGAGATGTGAACACAGCTCTTGCTTTTGCCCTAAAGAAAGAAAATGAAAAACATACAAGAGCCTATATGGCGCCAAAGAAAGCACAAAACTCGTGAGTTCGATGGGAACAACAAATTGCCTCTCAGCTCTATTATTATTGTTATTAATTTCCCTAAACAAAATGATTCTATGAAGAAGGTAAATGAACCATTAATTGACTGTAACTTTATCAGAATATTGCAAATATAAAAACAAAAAACTCAAAGATTAAAAAAGAAAAGAAACTTTGAATTCAGGATAAGTAAACAGAGTTTGGAAGTCAGGAATTTATCCCACTGTAATCCAGAAAGTCCAAATGCCAAACAATCTGGAAATACTCAGTTGAATACTTGCAGTGCTGATCCAGATGGTCCTTCTTCCCAACCCCCACAGTTATAAAAAATGGTTATCATCACAATAATTCAGCATTGTTGAGAGGCCCCACCGAAAAAAGGTCTCAGATATGCTGGGCAGGCCACATACCCACAGTCATGAAGACCTTCTCCTTGAGGGATGTTCAGAGCTGGTAGGAAGCATAATATCATGGGAACAGCATGTCCCCTTGTCCTCATGGCAGCTTACAGTGTCCTGGAATTGCTCTGGGGCAGTGCAGGCCCATGTTCTCTCCTCATGGAGTACCCAAGAGATCCTCACAAGCCTGTATCTGAAAATGCAGTTTCGTGGATGCACAGACAATCTGGGAAGTAGGTTTGGCCTTAAGAATGAAATTCAGTGTAGGCATAACCAGAGAAAGGGTAGGATTGTCTATGCTGCAAGGAAACAAGTGCTGTGACTGAAACCCCTGTGCAGAATGTCTCCTCCTGGGCATCACCTGGCTGTGGGAGTCCTGAACCACAGGTGGTCTATCCCTGCTCAGGTTGGATGTTCTTCGAAGTTGGGCACCTGCACGTGCTCTACTTCAACAGATACCAACCATGCAAAACTCCTCTTGACTTCAAAAGAAGAGCTGCCCATAGCCTAGTGATGCCCAATGGAACCCTGGTTCTGCTGAAGGACAGCGCTGAAGACCGAAGGAGCTGAGAAATGGGCTTGATATAGCGTGAAGAAAGTCTGATGTATGGCATAAGCCAGACCCTCGGTGCATACCAACACTCAGAAAGCCTTCAAAGTAAGGACGGTCTCCTTCCCTCCAGTGCAAGCATGTCTGTGGATCTTGGCAAGGTTGCAAGCATAATGTTTTCTATATCCCCATCTCGGTCCTGTCCCTTTGGCTTCTCTGTATTGACATCTTATCTCATTTATTTCAAACAGCCAGGAATTTGTTGCTGAGCCCATAGCAGTGAAGAAAATGCACAAAGATCAAGTAAATACTAACATGACATCAAGAACCTCTCTTATAGCATCAGGATTTCAGTGGTCCTGTGGTGATCTGTCCTGTCTCACTGGGAGATAGGAAAAGCTTAGTGCACACTGGGTGACCACTGAGCCTGCAGAGGAGCCTGTGATTTTAAAACCAAGATGTGAGAAGAAGATTTTCCTGGCCAAGACTTTCATTTCATGGTGAAATGCGGGATAGGCCTTTAACTACCGTAAGTATGGAGAATTTGAGCCAAACCAGGAGAGCTAACTTACACAGGTGGGAGTGTGGTCCTGAATATAAAGGGACGGTCAGACTTCAGGCTTGTGTCATATGGGAAGACTGTGGAGTCTTACTACGGGATCTGCTGTTCCTCCCGACGCTGCAAATCATGTGTCTGTGCCTCAGTGTCATACTCCACCTGCAACTTACTCCCTGCCAGTGGTTTTGTACTTGGATGTACTTTTCCACAGATGCACTTTTCCATGGATCTGATTTTCCAGGTCACAAATGAGAGGTCATCTCATCTCTCCCACTACAGTCCAGCATCTAATCCTAGTTCTGTGGCCACAGTTGCATACCACACCTCTGAAATAGTAATCAGATTGGTTCTGGTGGTTGTTTCTTCATTCAAAATATAAAAGCTATTTAAGTAATTTGCCTTTCTCCTTATACTGCTGTGAGCTGGCCATTATCACTGCTGTTCATCTCAGCCCTGTTACTGAACTGGATATCTAAAACCACCTGGTTTTGACCTCAAGCATGGGCCCACCTCCCTATTGAGTGCTCAACAACGCTTGTCTGAGGATAGTGATTTTGCCAGATATTTTTAAAGGGGAAGGAATTCCTGTGTACTAGCAAGTGAAAGCCAGAAAAGCAGAAATAGAAATGGGGAAAATTTAGGATGAGAGGGGAAAATGAAAAACCAAATCATAACACAAACTGGGAACATGGTCTGGAGGAAAAGGAAGCTGATGATGGAGCACACACAACAGCCTTTGGAGCAGACTGCTGACTGCAAAGGGCCTTGGAAACACTAGCAAAGATCCTGCCTCCTTTCATGATTCTTACCACAGGCTGTGTAAGTCACCAGGACCAGATCAAAAGTGCAGCAGTCTCCAGCAACTGCATCTCCTTTACCCAGTACTGTACAGATATTCTCAACCCCTAGGAGACAGACATGTCTCTGTGTTGACACTCAACATCACTTTCACAACAGCAGCTTTAGGAAACACCTGAAGGACAAATCATCCTTTTTATCCATTTCCCTATGGAGTAAATTTAAAAAAAAAATAATCTCACTGTCCTTTGGCACATAAAGGGACATTGTTGCACAAAACACAATGGAGCAGTGGAGCAGCCATGGAAGTGATTCACTCCCTTTCTTGCACGTGGGTGGAGGCTCATGCACTCAAAAACATCAGACTTCACATCAGAGTGATATAATTGGATTTATTGGAGGAAAACAATTAGTCATCCCTTTAAATCGTCATTATGATAGAAATCTTGATATGTATACATGATTGTCAAGGCAGAGAACCACTTGCAATGTAGCCCCATTAATAATTTGCAGTATTGCAAACTCATTATGCAGATAAAACTTTTGCAATGCCTTAATACATGCATGGAGTAAATACACACTCTCCCTTCTGTTTGGACATGGAGGCTGTTATGAGCTTGTATCAATCACAAGACCTGCAATATTAGGCACACTGACATTCCTTGACTAAGATTTAAGCCTTTGTAGAAAACATGCTTACATCTTCATTAAAAGTCAACCGAGAGATGTTTTGCAGTTGGGGATGTTTGGGGAGTCACTAGTCTGGGGCAGACTGGGCTTTTTTTTAGTTTGCTGACCCAAATCAAATATCTATCTGAAAAAAAAAAAAGGCCCAAACTGACCAAAATGCTGTTTCTCAACTAGAGGCCAATGTACAACAGGATGCTGACATTGCATTGACCAGAAACATGAGTCATGCCTTATCTCCCACTGAGCTACAAATTTCCATGCTCTTCACTTTGGGAGTCATGCTACAGCTTGATCTAGTAAGACATAACATGTGTGATACCATGCTGGGCTCAGGGGATGAAGATGAGAGATGGAAAAGCTCCGAGTTATCCTGAGCACTCCCCTAGGAGCTCCCACGCACCAGGAATCACAGCACACATCCACCTCTTCATGGAGCCTTGCACCACGTGCTGCCTCAGCAATCTGAACTCAGGCTGATTTACAACCATTATTAATGATGATTTTTTATGCTGCCATGTAGTGCTTTGACAATAGCACAGCATCCTGGCTGAGCACCAGCCTTAAAGGTGGACTCAAGACTTCTTGGTGCTTTCAGCCCACCATGGAGCAGTCCCTTGCATTATTTCCAAGGACTGATACTTGCTCCCTATGCCACTGGCATGGTACTTTCTCTCCAGCCCCGCTGCTTGGCATGCCCCTGCCAGGAAACCAGAGCAATTTCCCAGCCCTTTCAGATGACTCTGCTTTGAGTATTTGGAACTTGAGCATCTTCCACACTAACACAGTAACCACACAGAAGCTGGGACCAATGTCCTGCTGATGTCCACAAGATGATTGGGCCAGAGATACTACATGTACTATGTGGCCATCCCATATCTTGCCTTAGAAAGACCAGCACAAATGAAAATGGGTCACTGATTAAGGGAAGAGAAGACAAGGGCTTGATTTCCATGTGGAAGAAGGAAAAGTACCACACCAAACTCTTCAACAGATAAACGGTAGTACTACATGGAGGTTCATGGATTAAATGTTAGTATTTGCGTGGTGATGCTTTGGAAAGGATGGGATAATTAGCTCAGCTCTCTGTCCTATTTTGTGCAGGCAAATAATCACAGCATCTTGGTCCCCAAAATGCAGTTCATTCTGCAACAGCTGAGAAAGAAATATCTTCCAGGAAGAGGAAAATACTGAGTGAACCAGTCTAAGTTTTGACTAAGAAAAATTAACCAAATGAAAAAAAGAAAAAAAACAGAGACACACCAACATGGCTCTTGGTAGTCTTGAGCGTTAGCAACTCAGGGAATGAATTTTTGATGCAGACGAATTTTTTAAGCGTTGTATTAAAAAAAGGACCGTCCCCTCCCCGACTCCCTGTTTCTAGATGTGTATATGTGACTCCTGCATAGTTTAAGCTGCTCTGGATGGTGAATCTTCCTGTACATGCTGCAAAGCATTCAACAGAAAGACAAAATACATTACCAGGCTTTGCAGTATCTTGTTTACAAAACATCAGCTTTTGCATTTACTCAAACTTAACAATGGATTTCGAGTTACAGACACATTGAGTAATTTAAAAGCAGAATGTAGAAGTAAACCCCTCGAAGAAAAGGTTGGGTTGAGTGTGCATAAAGAAAAGACTTGGGAAATACAGAAACAGTGAACAGCAGTTTAATACATGCAGTGCAGTATCATGCATTTATTGGACATTTGATGTCATCATTAGTTCAGCAGTGTTTTTTTCACAACGCTTGCGAGCGTACATGCCCTGATTCCACTCTGGAATATGGAAAAAATGTAAGAGCTGCTCTTCTGACCTTATCATTTATGAAGAGCAGGAAAAAAATAGCTACCCGCACAGATCAGTGGCACGGTTCATGGTGGGGAAGGGGTCTTGAAAACCAGAGTCTGGGTTAAAGAGCCTTTATCCTCCATTACAAACGCTATTTACACAGCTTTGACCCAACTGTGCAAAGTTGGACCAAAAAACCTGAACCAACTCCTGATCTCCCACTGGTGGGATCTGTGATCCCTGGGGCCACAATGTGCACACACACACACACACACATTTGCACACATTTGCACACATGTGTGTCATGGAGACTGGACCACCCTGGCAGACAGGACGGGAACGCAGGACCCGGATGCAGGGATGTAGGGAAAACCAAAAGGGATTGTGTAAAACTTGCTGCTGGGCAAGAAGTCTGCAATGACTAATTTACCAGGGGAAACTGCGCGTGCAGTGTTTGTGAGCAGGTTGCCATTTCCTCACTCAGCCATTGTTCACAGCGACTTGCCAACTAGTCCGTGTTTGGTTTTGATGCTGTTTTCCTTGGATGCTGCAGTTTCCACGTGTGTTTCTGCTCTTTGCTTGAATGAGTGTAATTCTTAGCATCAATTTTCTGGTGCAAATAAACATGATAATGAAGGCAAGACTCCTTTCCCATGAATAATTTCTGGGATGCATTCAGGCCACAATTCAGATGGATAAATACACATGGGATCAAGAATGTAAGTAATCCCATTAAATGAGAATTTCCATATACTGAAAGGAAGATACTTCTGTACCTCGGGGCTCAGTCTAGAAACTGTTATTTTGCCAGTAGATGAATCCCCTGACTCTTTGAAAGAGCAAAAGCAACAGGCTACAGTCTGCATGAACTTGTTAGCAAAGTGAATCTGGTGTTTTTATGCACTGCTCACTCAGCTCTTCTCAGGGCTGAAGTTATCACAGGGGGAAATACAGCACAAGTTTCCCTATATTGGATCTAATTAATGGCAAGTTCACTTCAAAGGACAATATTCTCCCTGTTCTCCAATGGTTGAAAGCTATCTGGCTTTCCCTGGGGACTTGTTTGCCTAATACCAGGGTCATGCTTAAGGAAGGGGAAGCCTCAGGGCCAGCTGCCACTGCATTTCTAGGACACCCTGGAGGTCCACGTTCTGGTTCGCAGACGGTTTGGAGAGAAAAGCCAGAGATCAGGCGTTGCGTTGGCTTCTAGGGCTGGGAAAAACTTTGGATAAGTCCTAAAGTCCCTCAGGGCCCGGCAGGGGCCCAGAAGAACTGGTTATAGAAAAAATACTGTGAATAGCCATGGAGGTATGAAGGACACATGCACAGCGGAACCCCCTATCTAATGCCTACTACAGAACTACATGGAGATGTCTACCAGTGGGCTGACACCCCTTTTTGTTGTTTGATTCATATCAGGAACAAACCTCTATCATTGCTTGGTTTTATTTCAGCACCACAACCATAACAGACACACAACGCATAGGTAAAATCCTACTTTTTTTTTCTGCACCCACTACTCTAATGGCACCTGTACAATAGCAACCAGGACAGACGAGACATCACCAGCAGAGTAACACAGTCTCAGAAAAACATCACTGCCAGGTTTTCCCCATACTCCTACTTCCCCACTAGCCGTGCCGCAGGACCAATATCCATTTCGTGCTGCAGAAGGGGTGATCCAGCAGAAAGTTAGGATGCACTGGGAATGAAGTCACATGCAAAATCAGCAGCGGAAGCCCCTGCCACTGCAATACTGACTTTCAGCTCGCAGAGTTCACGGGCAGCCTGTCCTCACAACTTCTTCTGCAGGCTAAGGGGCCAGCTGGAGGTTTTCTGGATTTTGTTTTCCCAGCAAGAGCACTGCTGTTGGCATCAGAGATGGCCTCTGTGACTCTGGAGGTAAAAATCAACAATCAAAGCTGCAAGCAAAGAAAAAGAAGGGGAAGGAGCTGAGGAAAACAAGTTACAAAGGAAAAACACATTGGTACCAGTAAAGTAAAGCAGGAAAGGGTAACAGACAGGTGAGTCCAGGCTGAAGTCCTCATGTGAGGAGCAAATCACGCATAGTAGGACAGTCCATTGGGAAAGAGCCCAGAGGGATTTTTCTACCTACTCCTTCATGGCAAGGCCAGTTAGGGATTTGTTTTGAATGTTCTGCTTTGGAGCTACTAGCCCATTCCTCGCATGCACACATTATCTACTCCTGGCTTTGCATCTGCATGTGAGAGTGGCTGAGCAGGGGTGGATTGGGGCAGGGGAAGGCCAGTAGCACTGGAGCATCCGTGGCAAGCGATGCTGGAGTGTTTGCCATACCAGGCTGTGCTGCCAAAGGGCAAACAGCCCCCAACCCCTCTGTAAATCTGGTCTGGGTGCTGCGAGGTCATCCCAGTTAACAGATTTACCCAGATTTACACTGAGAAGTTTTAACCAAGAGATACTTCGGGACTCAATGACAGCAGATATCTCTAAGCATGTGTTGAACCCCAGTCAGGTCTCCAGCTGTTTCACTGTTACGAAAAAAAATCTTCCCACCACCCAAATCTGTAACAGAAACAATTTTGCTTTTAAGTGCTTCTGTTTCATGTCTTAAGATCCCACCAGTTGATAGCAAGACAAAAAGAATGACGATAAATTACACAACTATGTCAGGAAAGAAACTAAATCATCCTAATTCCAAGTGTGGAAGGAGAGAATACGCCTCCCAACAAAAACCACAGAAAGCATCCAGCAAGGAGGGACAGCCAGTATATGGGAACCCCCCCCAGCTGCAGGACAACATGTCTGTCTTTGCTCCCGTCACTGCTCTTTGTTTTGCAGATGTAAATCCATTTGCTTTTTTTGTTTTCTGCAAGATACATTTGGATGCTGTATTTTGATTAGTGGACTCAGCAACTACATCAAGTTCAAACCAGACCTCAAGTTTCAGAAGAGAAGGCAAAGAGGGAACGCTTGAGCCCTAATCTCTGAGAAAATTCTACAAAGACAAAAATATTCCCTAACCAAATCCTGCTTTTGGTTGCATGTGTGTAAACATGAGTAACTCCACTGATTCCAGATTGGGGGACTGCTTATTTACACCCACGATACTGGCCAGCTGAGCTTATGTAGGTTTAAAATAACTTGAATTTCTTGGGATAGGAGTGTCTCCTAAACTAAAGCTTCCTTAGGCTGGTAAAATAAAGTGGCCTTAGAATGAATTTAGATTGTATTATACTAATTTTCAGATACCTTTGCAGCAAAACATAAAGAGCCCCAAGGGTAAATGCCAAGAAAGCTCTTCTTAGTCTTTGCCAATGAGACAGGAATATATGGTGGCAGCAGCCTGGGGATGGGGACAGGAGCGTGACTTGCGGCAAGGAGATCCTTCAGTCGTCCCAAATCTTGGTCAGAAGTCCTCACTGGGAAATTATATGGAGTTTTGCTACCAATCCCCAAAAAATCTATATCTGCCATCATTCCTAAAATAAGAAGTTGAATTTGAAGCCTTTCTGTATGAGCATCTGTGTCAGCTGCAACACGGTGGAGGGCACCGGGTGCTCCCAGGGGCTCGCTCAGATGTGCCACAACCTTCCAAAAACGGGGAGCAGCTTAATACTGAGGAAACTAGAGATCTATTGGATGCAACAGCTTTAAGTGCTACCAAAGGAGAGGCTATTTTGGAGTCAGTGCTCACTGCCATCTGCTTTTCCAACTTTTCATGCTCAAAATACGATGGATGAAATCCTGGCTCTGCTGGTTGAAGCCAGTCGACTGAAGCTGAAGCAAGATTTTGAAGTCTCAATGAAAACTACATATCTTACGGCTTTTCCCAGCAAAGTCACTACTGCCTGATACATTCAGCTATGTCTGTGACTGGCTTTCACAATTTCTTGTGCAGGATAAATGAGGCAAGAGTGGCAATAGAACATGCTGCAGGGAAAGTCTTGTGCCTCTGGCGGGGATGGACCTGTCTGGGGTGCGAGAGGCTCACAGAGGTTGGGGAAGGGTGCCTGCCTCTGCTACCTGCCTCCCTTCTCACCTCCTCAAAGGAAAATCACAGCTGGGGATGGCGTAGAAGTAACCTAAAAAAATCCAGCAAATCCAGGCAGATTTGCTGTCTTCTCTGTTCCAAGCTGCTTTAATGCATGCCTGCACAACAGTCAGTGGTGGCTGTTCCTAAATGATCTACCAGCACACAGAGCCTGGGAAGTGCATGTATTTAGTAATTAAAAAAAATGGAGAAATTGAGCTTGCTTTTGTATATAAACTTCTGGGGAGGAAGGGGAGGCAGTGCCACCACTGCCCCTGCATGTGCCCGTGTTTTTCCATGAGGTCCTGCTTTTCCAGCACAGTGCTCCTCACCAGCCCTTGGCCAGAGCCAAGCATGATGGAGCAGTTCTACCTCAGATCCTTCACTTTGCAGCCAAGAACCTGACAGTGCTTCTCAGAGGGGTGCAAGCATCACCCCTCTCCCCAGGGGTGAAACTCAGGCACGCAGAGATTAAGGTCCAAACTTTTCTATTTGGTTTTTGATACTCAGTTTTGGCCACTCTGGGAGGTGCTGAGCATCAGCAACAAAGCCCCGAGGAGCTGCAGGTGCTCAGCAGCTCTGGCACAGAGCCCTCAGGCTGGATGTGCCCTGTGCCAGAGGCCAGGCTGGGAGTAGGCTGGTGAATTGTTTTGCCTGAGAGCAGCACAGCGAGTAAGTGGCAGAGGATGACTATGACTCCCACCCCACCACATCTTCCTTTTGTTTTGCTCTGCTTGTTACACACAGAGACTCCAAGGAGATAAGAGCTTCAGGATGAGACCCTGCTCTGTCATTTTGTTTACTCGGCCCTGGTCGGCTCCTGGCCAGCACCATGTATCTGCCTTTCCTCTGAAACAAGGGTGCTGCAGATCCCCAGCACTACAGGAATAAGGCCAAGGATGAGCTGACTCCCAGCTGGTGGCAATTTAACTCTTGCCATGGCTTTCAAGGAGGAGGAGGGGAGGGAAAGCAGCAGTTTCTTAATCTGAGCAGTAACAGCTCTGCTAAAGCCAGACAGACTTGCAGTCCAATTTGAGGAGCAAGAAATGGCATGCCATCGAAATCCTCCCGTGCTGCAAAGTTAATGGCAATTCCTACCTACAGAAATAGCCTATCCCCCAACAAACTGGAAGGAGGGATATTACTGGAAGTATTTTTTAAAAGAAAAAAAAATGCTCAGAAAAGTATCTCTATTTAAATAATCCAGTTGAGATGTTTGTAGTTAATGGAAAAAAAATACAACATATACTGTTACCTACACTGAGAAAAGAGTAAATCACTGGGGAAAAGAATGAGTGTTCATTAGTTAGAACATTGCTAGACTCACATATATATATATATATTTATATATATGTATATATATGTACAGCACCAGAGACTGTTAGATCCATTCCCCCTGGAGTCATTGCAGTTTGTGATAAATGAAACATTTCAGAATTGCAGTATAAAATATGGCCATAAAAAATCTTCTTTCTTCTAGTCCTTCGCTGAGCGTGCACTGCAGGGTGGGATCGCGCAGAGGCAACCTGCCAGCCCAGCCGCCTGCCCGCTCCTCGCCGCCCCGGCTCTCACTTGCTCCCTGTGTGCACTGTGGTCACTGTGGTGGGTCTGGGTCTCCGGTCCCCTCCTACCGCAGAAACGCCTGAAGAAGCAGATGAAACAAAACTACAGAGAGTGGATGGAGACATACCTAAAAGGAAAGCCAGAAACAGAGTTAGAAATGTTATTTTTGGAGGCGGGAATGTGGGCAAAGCTGAGTTTCTTGTGTAGCACACTACAGAGCGGAGGGGACTGCTGCTGGAGACGGTGCTCCTGCTCTTCCTGCAGTGGTGGGTTGGATGGGTACCTCCACGGGGCATCTTTTGCCCTCCTGGCCCACGGCCGTTCACCTATTGCCACCACCAGTAGTTACATGTGCATGTTGCAGTGAACAAAAGTCCAGCTTTGGTACGCGTTCAACTAGACCGATTCCACATTTCTGGGGCTGAAGACAAAGAGTTCTGGGATTCAGAAATCCCTCCAACATTGTGCTTGCTCAGAATAATTTTTCTTGTGGGCATGTTGAAGATGATTAAACTTCTCGTCATGGGCATCTAGCTAAATGAACAGACTGTGCACCTGGACTAAACCCAGGCATCCTGCAAAGCTGCTGATAAAAAAGTACAGCGGGTCAAATTCATTGCTGGGTTCCAGTAAACCTAGAGGGAATGTAAATTTGTGTGACTTGGACATCACTCTAGCAACAGCTTATGTCACTCCAGGTTCTGCTGGTATGCCTCCAGGACTTCCAGCTAAGAGATGTAGGTTGATGTAGGTTGAGTATCTGGACTCAAAATTTACCCAGTCAGTTCCTTTTGGACTAATCAAAGACTTCTGACAGATATTTTTTATGAAAAAAAAGGGGTGTTAGCTAAATTAAAATATTTATAGAAAGTGTCTGTTTCCAGTGAACCCTCCACCACAGCTTTAAAAACCAAAGCCCTCCAAGGTATAACCCCTGAAAACTGAAAGTAGGCTGGGTTTTGAATGACAGATTGAAGATTTTGCTATTCCGGCACAATGTCAACAGTTTCTATAGAAAGCATTAAGGAAGAGAAATGAAACAGATCCTTGCCAGAGCTTTCCGTGGACGAACTGCTCCTCTCCCAGCAGCTGATAAGACCCCAGAGGGGAGATCCTTAGACTTTGCTGGCATGTGCAGCTCTCCATGCAGTTTGGCAGCCTTGTAGGCACTGATGTGCAAAGGTAGCTCTGGCTTGAGAAAAGCTGCTGAGCAGGGACCTGACACAGTCACCTTGCTCTGACAAGAGGCAGCCTTGGTGTGATTAGGAATACAGTTCATTCTTCCAGCCTGGTGAATAAAGGATGGATGAAACCTATATTAATAGATACCTGGACTGGAGTTTGATATGGCCCCGTGACTACTCAGGATCTTTTTGATGCTTGTTATGACTTTTAACTACTTTTTCATCCTTCAAGGTGGTATTTCAACCTCAGGGATGACTATGCTGTACCTACACTCAGCTACATCCCATTTTCCAGCAGTATCAACACTTGACAACTTGGCTTCATGCTGCAATTTATCAATTACCTTAAAAATACAGAGCTCTAGGTCCTGTAATTAACCTAGGCAGGCCAATCGTGTCTAAACAGAATAAAACAGGAAAGGACTAAAAATCAGGCCAATACACTTGAGAAATCCCAACTGATTCACTTAGACTTTCCTGACAGGTAGCATAATCCAACCTAATGCATCATCTCTGCTCTACCCTAATACAGAGAACAGAATTAGGATGCAGACTGACATAACTTACTCTCAGGCAAAGCCCGTACTTAATTGTCTTCAATGATGCGAAATTGCTGCATTTGAAACTATTTGGAGAGCTCATTAAATGTCTATTAATAGCATTAGGCATTATTATATTTTGTAATGGTGGCACAGCTGTTTCATGTAACTTGCTGCATGGGATCTTTCTCGTGCAAGAAATCTGTCCCCAGGGAAAATCACTGAGACAGAAAGAGGCAGGACAGAGATCTCAGAAGTTTCCTTTTTCCCAACAGGAGGTATTTGGTGGAGTGCATTTGATGTCAGCTCCCCCTTAATGTCACTCCTTGTATTTGCTGCTGACTCTCCTCACTGGTTCCCTGGGGATCCAGCATCTCCAAACTCTTTAATTAATGTCTTTGAGGAAGAAAAGCTCTTCTGTATTGTCTGCCAAGCTGGACTTAGCCTGGGATGCTTGGAAATCTTTCTATACTTTTTTGCCTCGTATTTCTGACATTAAAAATCTTAACCTATCTTAACACATCTGATTTTATCCTTTGTACCCTGGCTGACTTCTCCAACACTGCAAGATATGATCGGATTCTCTACAGTTACCTGCTGGCTTCTGTAGCAGTTAAACAGACTTTGTTCTCTTCCCACCCTTCTTGTTCACAGATGTTTTTCCATGACTATACAGACTACTCAGTGCTATTAATTAACACCATTTGAGATTAATCAAATGGATAGATGGAGATTAATTACCCCTCAGTTTAACAGCAAAGCATGCCACCTAGATGCTTTGACCTAACTGGGGTCCATTTTAGCCATACTGCAGCAGGAACCAAAATAAAGGCGCGTTTCTCCCCGCAAGGGGTTTTCTACGTCGCTGCATTACCACTGCGTGGTTAGAAGTGCTTTGTGGCCGGTCAGCACTGCATCACTCCTCTGCAGGTGCCAGATGTGTGCCAGGAGCACCGTGATGCTTTTTTGGCAGCAACTGTAGGATTTGGCACTGGGCATTGCAAACTGGGTACTGGGCACGGATTGCCATCAGGCCTGGGATGCAGAAGGAAGTGGTTCTCCTCTGGATCAGCCACAGCACGGGCTGGGTAAAACATCTCACGCAGCACCCAGAAGGCATATCCCACCCCAGCCGTGGGGGGAACCGTGCCCACGACAGCAAGAGAAATGACAGCTTCCATACAGAGCTGTGGGGACCACGGCTGGTGGCATGTCCTCGTCAAGGAGCAGAGGCTGGCAGGCAGGGGTGGCAGAGGCAGATAGCAGCACCATTCAAAATCCAGCCCGAATAGTAGGTGCTTTCAGTTCCAGAATAGTGAAGGATACAGTCTAGAAATGCCACTTCAGTCCCTAGTGAAGTAAGAACTGACTTGCAATACCATAAGCTATTAGCACTTTTTTTGGTGCCGCATCTTAAAATAATCTCCTCTAATTGTAAAGTCCACAGCCCTCCATTTCATGATACAAAAATCTCTACAAATGGACAGAAAGGAATAAAGGAAATGCTTAGAAGCCAGAGATGAAATAGGCTTCATTGCAAAGGATGCACTTCTGTCTTCCAAATGATCCCTTTGCTGCCATGGCTCCTTCCCTGGTGTTCAGAAAAATATATATCCCAAGCATCTGATGCCATCAGGCAGCTTGCAAATCTCAATTATAGCATATAACAAACCAGGCAATAGGCCAAGTCCTGTTGTGGTGAACAGAGCCTGAGTCCTGCTCAGACAAATGAGCCTCTTCGTACAAGAGCTTAATCTGGCCCAGGAAGAGGGAAGTTGGGTCAGACTGGCAGGATCAGTGTCTCCTCCATAGAAAACAGAAATGGAAAGTAAGCCAATTTTTTACAGAAAAATGTCTTACCATAATACTGAAAACTCACACATAAACAGTTTGAGTAAATTTTTTCAGTTTTCAACCAAATACAAAACTTTTTTGCTGCTGTGGTCTGGGTCTTTTTCCCAAGTGAAAGCCCTTTTTCTCCACAAGAAACAGGGTTTTTCTCTTAAAAATGCACCAAGCTAAAACCTCATTTTTTTTAGTGCATAAAGTTTCACAGTTGAATTGTTTTTTTTTTTTTTTTTTTTTTTTTGGCCAGCTAAAAATGAAGGCCTCCATCTCTTTTCAGTCCTTATTTTAAACACCTGCTTGCACAAAGCTGAACCTGCTGGCAGCGAGGACTGCAGCCTGGGAGTCAAGAAGAAAAAGGGGATCCCGTGAATTTGCTCGGCTGCCACAGCAGGAGCTTTCCCGGGATGTTGGCTACTCACAATCTTTCCGTGTGGCTGCGTCGGGAAGTGGCGCGGCGAGGCTGAGGGTGCTCGACACGCTGGCACTCGCGCTGTCCAGGCTGCTGCCGAGGTGTAACCGTCTCATGTGTCGCACAACTGCTGTGGCATTAAATGCTTGCTGGAGCAAAAAAAAAACAATAAATAAAAAGATAATAAAGAAATTGGAGGTGGATGGGTTACTTCTGGTCCTCTCCTGGCTGCTCGGAGTTGTCAGAAGTGAATGAGCCCATCATCTTTCAAACTTGTCTCAATTTCCAGTTTCTAAGCTAGAGACAGCAATACCAAACCATAGGCATTTTTGCCCTGGTCCTGCTTCCTGTTCTTTCTAGCACTCAGCTGGGATGTGACAGCCTACAAGGAAAGTTGTATTTGACACATCCTTCCCTACACCAACACACAGGGTATCCTTGTTACTTCATGTCTCCCCATGGTGCTGACCCCAACTCCACATTTAACCAAGGGTGCTTTAGCTATGAGCAGGCCCAGCCACATCTCTCACACTCATTATATTTGTATACTTGGTTAGTAGCATCCTCTACAAAAGGCCCTGCAGGGCCGTGTAACCTAACTCTGGACCAAATATTTTGATTAAAATTTTGGGCCATAAAGAGCACTGATATGCTGAAAGGGTGGCTGTATGGCTACTGTGTGTTAGCAGAATTATGTGTCTAAGTGTCATCCCTGAGGACAGGTCACTTACTCTCCATTTGCTTTTTGCAAAGTTCTTCCGGATCTGAGCGCTGACGGACTCATGGATGTTTTTGCTGAGCGCCGTATCGCCAGCGATCCTGAAATGGACAGACAAGACAAATTTATGAGCTCTTTTGATCTCCCTGAATATGCTTTCTTCTTCTCCTCAACAGAGAAGGCTGGTCCAAGGTGTGATTGCTCCTTCAGTGATGATGATTTTATTCACACAAGGGCTCAAAGTTCCCACCATTGTCTCTGCTGGCAGCAATGGTGGAAAATCTGGGGCAGTAAAAGCAAGTGTAGATAAGGCTTGTAGGTCTGGAAGCTACAAAGAGGTGTGACCTTATTTTGTTCGTGCACGACTGCTTTCTATCACCATTACAGCCTTAGATGAAAACATTCTACCTTTTTATTTTTTTCTTTACATCTAAAGATTTAACATCAACAGGCTGAGACTGCTTTTAGCCTCAGTCATGCAGCAGCTTCCAGAGCCACTCCAACCTGTCTGATTTCTGTTTGCACTGGAGATTTTCCTTCCACCCTGAAGAGTACATAGCCATTCAACATGATTAATGTAGATTTACAGTAAAGCAGATACATGGACGCTCACTAAAGCAGCACAGGCTGCAAAACCAGCTTAAGACTCAACCTAAAAACTTGACTGATCTTGCACAGTTTCTTTAACAGATAAAGTCTGTTAGAGTTTAACAGACAAAAATATTCAAATATTCTCTGAACACAATTCTTTCCAGGGAATTTTGTTGATTCATTTAACTCCTCAAGGCATGAGATCTGCTGGAGAGTAGGCGCCATAGTGAACTGATGTTGGGCCATGTGCTGGGTTAATTCGTACTATCTAATGTAGGTGATGCCAGGAAGCAAAGATTGCCTCCTATGTTGTATGTGACGTTTTCAGAAATTAAATTTTCAGCCACAGTGTAGAAAGCCAATGTCCATTAGCAATAAGAAATTATAAGGAATTGAATAATCCATCAGGCCCAGAGCCTCCCAGTCTGGGAACCACCAATAAAATAATCAGAGGGTCTGGGGGCCTCAGTGGTCATCTAGTCCTTCCCAGCTCTGTCAAAATAATTTTGACAGATATTTGGCTAACCAGTCCTTAAAGTTCTCCCAAAGATGGATACTCCTCAGGCAACCTATTCCAGTGCCCCATTATCTCCCAGAAGGCATGGAAAATAGTTTATTCCCTTTGTCTTTGAAGCATCCTTTCACATATTTGAAGACTGTTATCACATCTTCTCTCTGTCTTCTCTTCTCTAGACTAAACAAACTGAGTCTTTCACTGTTTCTTCATAACTCATATTTTCTAATCCTCTGATCTAGTGAGCTTCTCTGGACTTTCTCCAACTAGTCCACATCTTCCTTAGAGGGCAGTACCCAAACTGTTCACTGTTTTCCAACTAAGGCAGCAGAATGGCAGCATTGCTTTGTGTTTCTTAAAAGATGAAACTGCTTAAATACCCCAGCCTGCTGTTTCTATTTATGTGTCCCGTGATTTGGAGACATTCCTTTCATTTTGCCCAGATCATTCCAAACTGTAACCCTGTTCTTCAAAGGACATGCAACTTTTTCTACCTTCACGTCAATGGCACATCTAAGAAGTGCTCTGTGGGACCAGTCTTTCCCAAATTTCTCCCCTCCTTCCTGCTAACAACACTCACCCAGGATGTCAGAGAGATGAGAGGAACTACTTTTACTCTTGGAAGGAATTTGAGGGACTAAATCCCTATCTCCCAAGAGTGCAGAGCCACCAATCCCATCTTGTTGCAACTGAGCTAATCTATATTGAGTTATTCAAGAGTACTGGAGCCAGCAGGATTGTGGGCAGGAAGGAGCAGGGTTCCCATTCAGAGTAACCCCCTCCAACTGGGAAGGGCACTTGTTTGACTGTCACATAACCTCTATCTCAAGTAGACAGAAGAACCTACTTGTACCATGAGCAAAGCATGGCTCCCAAATAGCACCTGACATCCTCTCATGGGTTCCTATGCTGTTGATGGAGAAGGGGAGGTGTCTGACTGAGACCTGGAAGATCTTCAGATCTTCCTCTAAAGACGATTCCTTCTGATTACCTCTCCCACTGACAGGGAGGCAAGTTGGTTTGGATTTCTCACTGGGGCCAGGCAGCTAAAATCTTGGTGAGGCAGTATCTAGTTTAAGCATCGTGTTCAGCGTTCCATCCTCTGTCCCTCACAGGGAATATTTTCAGGCCCAGCACAGACCCTGATGGATCCTATGCAGTATATACCCTCAGATGGATACAAAGCCCAGATGGCTTTCCATCCACCATAACAGAGAATTTTCTATATTTCTCTATCATGAAATCATCATGTGAAGCAGCTCCTACAGCTTTACCACGGCCACACCTATATGACCCAAATGACATGACACGGAGTGTCCCTGGCTGCCTTCAGGTCACTACTATGAAGAGGTGACCAGAAGCCTGAGAAGACTCTAACTGTATTGCCTGCCCTGCACAGCTCATTAGCTTAGGTGCCAAGTGTGTGCAGATTTGCATCCATTCTCCTTGCACACCGCTCAGCCTTTCAGTGCAGACAGGACCCAGCAGATTTTCCTGGTGGGAATGCAAACTGCTAGTCAGACTCACTCCAAAATGTCATAAGCGTTCTGCTCTGTCCAACAACACCTCCTCGGTGAAGGCTGGTGCCCTCAACACGCACCAGCTGGGAACTGGTACCATCATACCACAGTTCTGCAGAAGAAAACTAAGCTGACCACTTAATATGTGGACAGCTAGAAGCCAAAGTATATGTTCAGTAACAAATCAAAAAGACCAAGCTGCAAAGAGAAAATTTACTTACATTTGTGGAGAACATATTTTCTCCAAAGCTAGTGAAGCGTTTTGCTTTATGAACAAATTTGTTAAGAAGCTGCATAAGCACAGATCAAGTTTCCCACTTGTCAAATTTTATTTTGGAAACATGGACAAAACAAGTTCTTGGGGTATGAAACCCTTGCCAGCTCTTCCAGAAGATCTTTCCTTCCAGTCTCCAGAAGGACTTTCAAATGTATTTTTGCTATATGAAACTTTTCATCGAGCATGTAGCTCAAACACAGGCTATATATTTTTTTTTTGAGTTAAGGGATCATTTTCTGAAATGCTGGTGGTTTCAATAAGAAACTGCTGGTTCCAGTAGTTTGTAAACTGTTTTCTACCACCGCTAACCCTATGTTCACTATGCAATTCTTGTAATTCCAGAAAAAAAGTCTTAGTATTTGGGTGTTTTCCAAATAGGCAGAATAGTACTTGCTTTCTTCACAAGGGGATGGACAAACACCCTGTGAAGCCCTCTGATGCTACAGTGGTGGGGACCATCCTACATCTAAGGTCCCTTTAGCAGCATTAGCACCTTGCAGAAGCTAGTTTTTAATCAGAGTGAAGTAATAGCAGTGTTTTATTAGCACAGCAGGATCTGTTCAAACACGTGCTGGTATGCTGAACAGTGTGTCTCAAAATGCAGCCCCACCTGCCAAAGCCGGGTGTGGGATCATTCTCCAAGCCGCCTCTGAAGAACTATCCTGTTAATGGTGCAATGCTGTAATTAGGGTTGTGCTTTTTTACTGTATTTTGCACTTGGAAGACTTAGAAACTTTTATAAAATACTCATAGCATTATAGTGTTTGTAGTATAGTTCTACTTCTAGGAAAACAAAAGAAATGTTAACATCCATTTGCTGTTACTGTTTTGTTGGAGATGTGGTGGTTTAAGTACACAGGCAAGAGAGGTTGAGGTGAGCAGGTAGAAGTCATATCTTTTATACAATTAATTGGTAGAGTTTGAAAAATGAGATAAGCTTTTTGGCACACAAACCTACCCCAAGGTGGGTATCATGAGCATCATCACATCTATACCGAATGTATTTAATCACAAACTTTAGTTCCCATGCTGAGAAGATAACGCATGAAATTTAATAGAGATACTGGTTTTAGAGCACATTATAATCAACCTTCCACCTTTCCCTAACTCTCAAAGTCCACAGAATATAAACAACTTTGCTTTTACTTTTAGGACAAAAATACCTTAGCATCTTTCTTTTTTCCTCCCTCCTCTGCACAACATAGCCTTCTCCTACAGGAATCAGCTTTGTTTCCCCCAAGAAACAGCCATCTTCTGTTTCAGAGATGATCAAACTGATGCATATCTAGTCCAACCCTATTAGTTCACGGCTTTGCAGTTAACTTTGAAGTTAACTGTGTCAGCACTGAAGCTTGTTTTTACTGACTATACCAGTTGGCCCAGTAAAAGATATAACTTCTACCTACCACACACATATACAAAAATAAAATTAAACAAATCAGAATAATGCATGATCTTTTATCATGCTGAGCGTCACCCAGAACTGAGCAAGGACTGATCAGCCTAACTGGAACCTGGCATTTCTCTTGGGGTCCCTGTTTTGCAGCACCTGAAAACAGCTACACCCTAACAATGGTTTGGAGAACTTCGTGTTGAAGCTGGCCTTACATCCAGCTGTTAAATATATGTGTGACACAACACACAGAATTGGATACCAAGGGCCACAATCTGATGACTCCCTACCACAGATACTTCCACTGAAGCTAAGAAGGGTATTTGTTATGAATAAACATACCAAATCTAGCTCTGCATATAAGAGGAATCTAATCTAATGATCAAATATTATTTCATAGTATCTAATTTATTTTAGGTATCTGGATTCAAAGCTATCACAGCAGTTTATCTGGCCATACCACTTCTAAGCTTTGAGAGGAACCTCCAACAAAGACAAAACCAACAAATTTCCTTTTGGACGGTTCTTTGTTAGCATGCTGCAAGCACATGTCTCTCACATCCTCCCTGCCCACCATGGCAGGCAGAGTCTTTCATCTACCATTATTTTTTGAACCTTCATACTAAAGGCAGCCAACTCAAACGCTGTGCTGGCCAAACAGTGCTTGGAAATACTCTTGAGTCTGATGACAGGAAACATGGAGCTAGCTGTAATGGATAATGCTGAAGGATCACAACTTTTCTATGCATAGACACACACACATATACATACACACATACACACTTGCATGTGTATAAATATACACA